TGAGCATCCAGCAGCTGCCTCTGTTTGGAGAGTACGTGTGGTTTGGGTGGCATTTGGGTGGGAGGAAAGGGGCACTTTGGTCAAGAGACGAGCTTCACAAAGCTCTTGCGCTTAAAGGGAAATATTGAAAAGCTGAAATTGCTAATTAAGTAAAGGTTAGGGTAGGATTCTTGTGCCTTAATTGATCCAGCCAGATTTCCCAGAAACTAGCTAGAACAGATAGATGCTAACAACAGTCTTAACAGGGCATTATGACGCCTCTGTCTGCCCCCTGTTTGCTCCCTGCCTTATGTTTGTGAGTCCTAAGAGCTGGCACAGTTCTGCAGTTGACCGTGGGCCTGGGGTTCTGGGAAGTGTAACAGAGCACGTGGAAATCGCGTTTCCACGGAGCAGTAACCAAGCCAGGTGGAGAGTGGGTAAGAACTGTTGTTGTGCTTTGTGACGAGCTGGATGTGTTTTCACCCTTAGATGAAAGCGGTTTGTAGCTGCTGGTGTGTTTTTTTCTTGCCTTCTCTTCAAAATAAACGTGTGCGAGGGGGACCAGGGAGGACGATGAGTCCCATCACCCGCTTTCCTTTCTGTGTTTAGAGACGACGGCGCTGACAACGAAGCCTGCGTTTCCAACAAGTTTGTTAACGATGGCAGTTTCCTCCAGCAGTTTCTCAAGCTGCAGAAGGAAAAGTCAAGTACTGGTAGGTGGATTTCTGAGAGGCAGGAGGACTCCCTTCTCCTGGCGATCCCGGCTTTGTGTGAGCTGTTCTCTTTAGAAACCCCGCTATGAGCTGTTCCCTGTGTGAGTAAGTTCTAAAGCAATGATGACCCCTTTAAATACGGATTAAAGCCTTTCCCTGAGAGGGAGGTTTGCCGGTTTTCCCCCTCTGCGTAGGTGTTGTAAAGACAAGCACATCTCTTCAAGCTTGAATCTCTCTTTAAAAATAAATAAAAGCCATCACAGCTTTAATTTTATTAATCAATCGGCACCTTCAACTTACTCTCCCACTAGTGCTCTGTTTTAGCTGTTACCAGAGTTGTTCTTTATAACCTTCTGAGATGCAAACAGTAAGGATGCGCAGGAATTATTTTCGCCCCCCCGACCCCCTTCCCCTCATTTTTTTTTCGAAGAACCTCCCCCAAGTTCTACTAATAACTCGGCAAACGCTTCCGCGCCGGGTGTCGGGAAGAAGCCGTTGCTCTTTGGGAAGCGGCCCGGGCAGGTCCTGAGCAGCATGTTGCACCAAGCGAAGAACTACTCCCATTCCAAACAGAGCCCGGTCGTTAACCGCCTCAGTGTGTTTCAGTCGCCCGACGAAGATGAGGAGGAAGATTATGAGCAGTGGTTGGAAATTAAAGGTAAATGACACCTCGTGCTGCGGTTGGGGTGCGGGTCCGCTTGCCCTAGGGAGGTTTCTTCCCCAGCAGAGGGTTGGGGTGGGTTTTTTTTTCACCCTTAGGCTGGGGATTTGTGCTCTTAGGGCGGGCTTGTGCATCGTGAGCCTATAAATGCCACCAGTTAACGCTGGTGGGCTCCTCCAAAGCCAGGGAAGCGGAGAACTGAGCGCTGCTAAGAGATTCCTGCTCCAGCCTGAGCTCTGTTTGGGAGATGGGGCACCCGACCTACTTAGACTGAGTCTGGTTTGTGCCTGGGAAGGTTCATTTTCTCAGAGTTCTCAAAGCAAGTGCTTGAGCAGCCTGTAAGTCTGTGAAAATCGCATGTGGGGAAGAAACGCGGTCGACTTGTAGTGGAGCTTGGTCGGTCGCCAGTCGTAAGAATTCTGCTTTTTGTACAACTGAAACACATTACGCCTGTTTTGTAGTAAATGTATAGATGCAATGTTTGTATTTCAAGTGGAATCTGAGTTTGTTAAATGACAGAAAATGAAAAGTCCTCACTCTGAATGTGGCCTCTAGGGGGAAGAATTGTGTGCGTTAATACTCGAGATGACGTGTTGGGCACAGAACTATGGTCGGGTGAAATCAAAGTTCCTGCCTCTTTTCAAAGTTTCGTTAGAAAAAATCTCACCTCTAGGTCCTGACTGCTTTAAGTGGGGTAGAAAAGCAACAAAAAATACTGCAGCGCTTAAATAACCCGATTTAGCTGGATAACCTCGGCCAGGAAGCCAGGAGGCAGATTTGCCTAATAATCCGAATTTCATGCGTGCACGTTAATCGAGTATAAAATTAGATTGGAGTTGCTAAATAAGTCACAGTGAGCTTTGTGTCATAATTAATTTCATTATATGTTTACAAAACCATGTCTTAACTGTTGCTGGTGGGATTTATAAAGGCGTGATCTGAGTACGTCGGGACCAAAGTGTGAAGGAGTGTGAGAAAGAGCCACTGGCTTTAGAGAATGAAGACACAGATGGACCCTTCGTTTAAACCTCACGGGTTCAAATCTGGTCTAGATCAGGGTGGGCAACTCCACTCCTGCGTGCTCTGCCCAGATTATTGCTGCCCTGCATTCGGTTCCCCCAGAACGTGTCCTGCAGGAGTAATCGAGCCAGAGCGCTGACTTCCCGCTTAGGGGAGCGCAGAGGCTGACGATAACCTCGGGCTTGTGATTTCTACGGCTTTCGTCTCATCCTTTTTCTTCCCGTTCCCCTTCTACTTTTGTCTGCCGCCGTGGTTCTTAGAAGTAATGTACCTGTTGCCTGTTTGGTGTGTGAGTTGAACCCCAGTACTGACAGCCTGCTTAAAGTTTTACCCCCAGAGGATGCGGAGACCCGACAAGTGGTGGAAAAGCTGGCTAGGTTCATCGCTGAAGGGGGACCCGAGTTAGAGAAGGTGGCTATGGAAGACTACAAGGATAACCCAGCTTTTTCGTAAGTGGGGCGATAAATCTTGTCTTCCAAAAGCACGGGGGGGTGCTGGACCCCAGCTCGGGGCTGGTTGTGTCTCCACTGACGGAGGATTCCCTCCTATATCAGAGCAGACAATTACTCATTTGCCTTCAAGTGACGCAAAAAGTGTGGGCGCCAGTCCTTAAAGCCGTATGTATTTACAGAGGCTGAAGGCTTTGGAATCCACATCTTGCTTAATTTATCTATTCTGTGGGGTTTTTTTGGCTTGAGCTATTTATATCCCGGAGCAGCGATGTTTGCAGGGTTGTTGCTGATGCGTATTTTTTTGCCCTTCTTCCCTCCATCTCCGCCCTAGGTTTTTGCATGATAAGAACAGCAGAGAATTCCTTTACTACAGAAAGAAAGTGGCAGAGATAAGAAAAGAGAATGAAAGTTCTCAGGCATCCTCTTCTCAAAAAGGTAATTAAGGCTGGGATCTGGAGAACAGGAGTCGCACAGGTCAAATTTGACTTCTTTGCTTTCTGGAACTGCTTGTTACATCCGTTCTGGAAACGGTTAGCCTGGGTGTTTGGCTGTCAGTCTGCTGCCTATAAATAAAATTTCAGAATGGAAGGAGATGGCGATCAAACATCACCGTGATGGCATCGAGCTCTTGTGCCAAAGAGATCGTTTCCCAAGCCCGCAGCACGCTCCGCTGTGCTCCACAGAAAGGGCTCTTGGAAGAGATTTTCCTCGTATTTCTCCATTCCAGAAAGTGTTTCGGCCCTGAAAATGCATTTAGAGAAGTGCTTTTTCTCATATGTTCTTACCTGTAATTACAAATTAAAACGGCTGGCTGGTGTGTTTGTCTGTTTGAAGGCAATCCTCATTTCTGCTGCCGTTTCCTTATCTGAAGCTTTTATTTTCTGCTTGGGGCGTTAATCCTTGCTGCCGTGGCTAAATAATGTATTTGCCTGGCTCCTTATAAACATGAAATAGGCTCGAAATATTAACAATCAGAGCTTTCTCTGGACTTTCGGGCGAAGGCTGCAGTAGCCACTTCTTCCAGGTGAGGATTGGGACTGTTCTGTGGAGAATTTCCCCCGTCCCACAGCCTTCCCCTAAGCTGGGCAGCAGCTCTGTGCAGCGACAGCAGGTGCGAGTGGTTTCTCCACTTTCTCTAAGACCTTCCCACAGCTCCTCGGGCCGTCAGTGGCAAAGCCTTTAACTAGAGATAATTGCAAGGTGTAACCCTGTGGAAAAGTTCCTGACGTGGGGAAGAAACTTCCTCTGTGGTAGAGAGAGAAACATCTTTGAAGATAAAAGCTCGTTTGCGAGTTCGTCTCCTCTCGAGTAGCTCCTGGTGCAGAGGACGCTGCTCTCCTTACTCTCGTACAACCTTACGAAATATTGTGGGGGTTTGGGGGGGATGTAAACTCTTATGACTGTTGACATGTAAACATTTCTTAAAAATTAAACTCGACCTTTTGCCCTCATTCTGCTCTTGGGGTTCTTAGAACAGATAGGCTTTGACTGTTGCTTGTGTGAGTTGGGCCCAGTACTGACAGCCTGCTTAAAGTTTCACCCCCAGACGACGAAGAGACAAAGAACTCTGCTGAGAAACTCGCCAGGTTCGTAGCGGACGGGGGTCCCGAGGTGGAAGCTATCGCCTTGCAGAACAACCGAGAGAACCCCGCTTTCAGGTAAGGGAAGAAACCCATGGGTCTGGTCTTTTTTTTTTTTTTTTTAAGGGGAAATGACAGATGAGGGTGCGTTAAATCTGAAGTTGCGAGGGCGGCACGCTTCCGCGGTGCTGCTGCTTTGACGTTCTTGAGCTCCACAGTTTAAAACAAGATTCGGAGAGAGCGGGATCGATTCGCTTTCCCTCCTGAACTCACAGCTGCTGCCCTTCCTCACCTGCTTTCTGTTCGTACAATTCGAACCTTTATACTTCTCCCCGTAGCTGTGTTTTGGTGCGAGGCCCCATCCTGCTGCTGCCCAATTAATTTCCTGGCTTGCTCTTTCCACAACATCCTCACTAACGTGCGCGTGGCTCTCCTTCGCCGTTAGATCCCCCTTTGGAATCTCTGCCTCAGCCTTTCAGATGCGAGTTGTTCTCTCTGGTGCTCACTGACAGCTGTTTAATGCCTCCCTTTGGCCTCATCCGGGTTTCATTTTTCTGCTCTTACAAACAATTTGGTGCGTTCCCTGGCAGGGAAGCGGGGCTCAGCCAGCCTTCTTCTTGTTGCTGATATTTTGGTGTTTTATTGACTGCTTTCAGGCTCTCTGGGGGGCTCCCCCGGGGCTGTGAATTACATTAGACAGATGCTCTAATGTCTGAGCTGCTTCAGTATTTACTTTAAACCGCTGCTGGGATCCCACCTGAGCGCGATCGAGCTAAACACAGCCTCCTCTGGCTGGATTTTGTCGACCCTGTCCTGCCCTCCTCTAGGTCCTGAAGCAATCCTTAATGCTGTTCTTCAAGTGGAGGGATACACGACCACATTTAGTGAATTTTAAAACACAGCAGAGAACTGTTTGTGTTTTGTGCAGCAATAGGTGGGAAAGGCCCCTGTCACCTTTTGGGTTTTCTTGTGGGAGCAGGCGCTGTCCCAGGAGAGGTCACACCAGTGTTAAACTGGTCCTCTGAAAAGGGAGGATTGTAGAGGAGTTAGGGAAAGCGAGGTTTTCTGTGTAAAATATTTAAACTAAAGGGAGTCTGAAAAGCTCACGTGTTTGTAACAAACATGACTGCATCAATTGATTTCAAACCCCCTGCGAGAGGGTTTGTTCGTGTTCTTGCCACAGAGACTAAGGAGTTCTGTTTTACCCAGAAGGTCAGAGACGCCTGTTTCTGGAAGGGGTGGCAAATCAAGTGATGGGGTTTTTGGGTATGAGGGAGCAGAAGGAAGAGTCGCGGTGTAATTAAGCAGACTGGCAATGTCAACGCTTCACTCTTGAATAGAGAGCTTGGGAGCAGTTTCTTTGGGCAGTGGTTTGCCGTTCCCCAGGGTAAGACCTGAACCTTTTGTTTTCTTCTCTTGAGCTTAAAGCCAGCGTGCTGTGGAGCAGCCCTCGCAGTTTTTCCAAAAGCAGGAAGGGCAGGTACATTCTGAGGGAATTTGCCTTTCCACACATGTAACGCGACTCTTCTTTTTTTGTTTTTAGCACTATGCCTTTATTTGGCAACCCAGAAATAGCTGTGGCTGCCTCATGGGTGGGAAATAGGCTTCCCAATCCCAAAGGCTCGCAGCCTGACCTCTCCGGAGCAGGCGGAGCCCTGCACTGCGCACACATCCACGCAGGATGGTGCTGGAGAGCAAGGAAGCTGTGGGGGAAGGATGGTTGTGCAAGAAGAGCCTCGCAGGAAAACAAATTCTGCTGCATCCAACCCCTGCGCGTAACTGGTACATCTAAACTTTATTTTTGTTTTTTAATTTTATTCCCTAGGTTTTTATATGAGCCAAACAGCAAAGGCTACAAGTATTACCGGCAGAAGCTGGAGGAGTTCCGTAAGGCCAAAACCAGCGCCGGGGGCGCCCCCTTGCCTGTGGAGCCCAGCCTGAAGAGGAAGACCAGTCCTGAGGCGTCACCGTCACCTTTGTCCTTGCCCTCTTTGCCCTTGCCTTCACCTTTGCCTTTGCCCGTTCCCTCACCTTTGCCTTTGCCCCTGCCCGTTCCTCCAGCCTTGCCCCTGCCTGTTCCCTCGGCTTTGCCCCTGCCCTTTCCCTCGCCCTTGCCTGTGCCCTCATCCCTGCCCTCACCTTCACCGTCGTCCTCCACGACTCGTCACGCGCGGCCTGCCACAGCCACAGGCACAACTAAAAAGAAGCGGAAGAGCAGGTGGGGGCCGGAGGAGGACAAGGTGGAATTGCCCCTCCCGCAGCTCGTCCAACAGCTGGATTCTCCGTCCCCTCTTTCAGGTCAGCGGGTCTGTGTGTTGTGTCAAATAACTGTATTTTTTTCTTTTCCTGGGGAGCGCGTTCTGCCTTAGCACAGCTGGCTTTGTACACAGAAACGCCAGCAAGTCTTATCTCTCGTTGTAATCTCCTTGGTCACCAGCCCCCAATCTTTCAGCTGGATCTAGCAGCTACCTCTCCCCTGTGTGGAAACCCAGATAAACCACTTTATCTCGCAGACGCCAGGGATTGGATCTTATCGTTTTCCAGCTATCTGAAAACCCTGCTGTGCTCTAGCTCATTACAGCCTCAGCCTCTACACTCTTTAGAGCTATTTCACTTCAGGAGGAGAGTGTCAGGAACCAAATATCAAAGGCTGAACTGCGCTTATTCCCCGTGGTAGGGTAAAATCCCTGGGCAGCTCTTCCATCGCGCTCTCGCTGATCAGAAGGCTAAATGGGAAGAGCTGTTCCCCAAGGGCTGGCGGGCGCGTGTCTTCCACTTCCAATTTATACCCGTTTCGGTTCATTCGATGACGGGCGGCGCTCGCAGTCCTTGTTCAGCTCGCGCTCCCGCGACTTCACCTGCTGAGTTCACCCGTAGGGTAAAATCCCTGGGCAGCTCTTCCATCGCGCTCTCGCTGATCAGAAGGCTAAATGGGAAGAGCTGTTCCCCAAGGGCTGGCGGGCGCGTGTCTTCCACTTCCAATTTATACCCGTTTCGGTTCATTCGATGACGGGCGGCGCTCGCAGTCCTTGTTCAGCTCGCGCTCCCGCGACTTCACCTGCTGAGTTCACCCAGGGGGTGCAGCTTGCTTCGAGTTGGAAGTGAATTCTTCCAGCTGAGGCCCTTGTGGGGAGCTCGCAGAGGGGTTGAGGCCCTCTGTGCGTGTGCGGCCGTGGAATGAGGCTGTTGGGGCTACACACAGAGATGGAGTCACTCGAGGACAGCAGGTGGATGCAGGCGTTTCAGGTGCCAGCTTGGAATCCTTTGGCCAATTAGTGTGGTGCAGGGGAAAGGATGTGAAAACGAGAAAGAGAAGATGTAAGATAAGACAGTCGGCAAACTGAAAACATTAATAGAACGAGACTGGAGTCACAGGAAAAGTAATAAGTGCTTGTCCCAGTAAGGACCGTTTTCAAAATGCGAAAGCAGAACAGATGAAATGGGACCAGTAACAGAAAAACAAGGTGTCATTTTCTGAGCTGCGGGGAGAGACCACGGGTAATTCTCCATGTGTGGTCACCCTGTATTATTCGTTGCCCCAGCAAGTCCCTGGGTTTGAGAGGAGATAATTGCCGACCCCTCCGTAGCTTTGATTCTCAGGGTGGGGTGAGGTGCAGGGTTGGCTGTGGGTGCTGTGGGACTTGTTGGTTTTGCCGAGGTCGAGAGGGAAGGACGGAATTATCTCCCAATCCAGCTCGTCAGATGCAGAGGAGGAGGAGTTCCTGTGGGCTTCTGCCTTCTGATGGCAGCCCAGCACGGACGCCCTGGCCTTACATCTCGGCTGGGCAGGACGAGGCAGCAACCTGAGCAGTTTATTCATTTGACCTTGAATTGCTGCTCAGAGTAAGGCCGAAATCAGATGCAAAAGCCTTTCCAGGTTTTGTACCTCTGGAGTTTTGGGTTGGTTTTTTTTCTTTATTTTTTTTCTTACAGACAGTAATGAACCTTCGATGATGAAGCTGGGCAAGCGCTTTCAAAACAAGCGTCAGATTCCATCTTAATACCTCCTGCTGCAGCGAGCGGGGCTGCGGGGGTATCTGTGTGCTCGTTCCAGCAGCTTCCCACCGAAACCTCCCCGGGTGCCTTTAGCCTCCCCTTAATTAGACAAGGGACGTGCTCCTTGTGGTCATGCTCACTTTCTGCAGGGCTTTGTGTCAAGTCGAAGAAAAGGACAGCAAACAATTTGCCAGGCATAACAAATCAACCGGTAATGCGCTGTTAATGCTCTGCAGGGGGAAGGATTTTTTTTTTTGTTTTTTTTATCAGTTCAGATGGACTAATCCCTTTTTAGAATTAACATCTTCAACCTGACAGGTGAGGAAAATTCCAGATTACAGCCCCGGTCCTGGGGAAGGCTGGAGTCGCACAGTGTGCTTTGGGACCTAAATATCTACGTCTTAGTCCTTTATCCTTTAGCAATTGTTTTGGAATTAGCAGAGGACTGTTGTGACTCTTTACTTGTCTGCTCTTAGTAATAAATCAGTATCGTGGAGAGAAGGAATTGTAGCTCTTCTGGACAGAAACAAGGCTCCTTAAATGTCTGGGTATCGATACGTGTAACTGCATACGTCCTGCAGGGACTAATACATCTGAAAAGCTGAACAGGGGAGAGATGCTGTGATTAGTGAACTCGGTGGACTAATGGGAAATTGGAGGCTGTCATTAGAACTTGGGTATTGGATTCGTTGGGGTCTTACTGCTTTTAATTGAGTTAAGATCTTCCGAGTATGGAGGAAATAAAAATAATCAGGCAATTCTGTATTGGGATTTCTCCTGCTGTCCTTAAAGGACGTTCGCTTCTCTCGTAACAAGCTCTTCTTTGGGCGTGTGAGAAAGGGATAAACCTTCAGGTAGTCTTCTGCCAATGCTGCAGACAGACTGCACCATTAACCCTGTAGGCAAAGCTGATGTCATTCAAGGAAAAAAAAAAAAAAGTATTTTTCTTTTTTTTTCTGCTGAACATGAGACTGAGAAGCGTCCCCTTATCTTTTGCAGAACATTTGCCTGGTGCTAGACCAGTGTAAAGAACTTCTAAATCTTACCTATTTTTATGCAAATTAATTGACTGATCTTTATTTATGACTAGACTTGTCTGTCTTCAGATGTGGACTTGGGGTGGAGCTTTGCTTTTTTCTCTCGGCTTTGCCTGTGTTGTGATGCTTTGGGACGAGCCTGCAAAAAAATCTCTCCCAGCTGAAGTTCTGCAATGACTTTCAGCCTCTCTCAGCCTCTCTCGGCGGAAAGCCTGCAAGGTCCCAGAGCAGTCAGACACACCTGCTGTAGTTTCAGCAGTAGTTTTAGTGGCTTGTGCTTTCTGGGAAGTAAAAGAAGATGCCACGGCCTCACCTTTCTCCTTTAAGGTGGTTATATATGCTGGCAAGCCACCAGCTCGCGGGGCCTCCAGAGCCGTGCCTGGCTCGTAGCCGGAGTGTTTATGCAATTGAGAACTGAGCCAGAGAGCTGCCGACCTCTGTGAAGGGCAGAGAGTCTTCCTCGGCCCATTCGGAGAAAGCTTTCCCCTGCCCAGGGACAGGAGGGGAATCCTGGACCAGGGCTGATGCCGGAGTGCCCTTTGGCACCAGATCCTTCTTAGCGCAGTGTGTTCCTCCAGCCTGTTTCCACATCTCTGTTCTCTCTGAGAAAGAAATCGGGCAGTTCATAGGCTTATTTTTCTGTTTGTTCTTATTTCTTGGGAGCTGAGAGCGCAACTCCGAGCACCCGGCCCGGCATAACGCGGCTTCTCACCTTCCCTCCTTTTGGAAAAACCTCTTGCGGTGTTTTACATGACTCTTCCCAGCGCTGGGGCGAGCGTGCAGAGGCTGGAGCTGCGCGAGGGATGGCGGCCGCGCTGGTTTTGGGTTCTTGGGAGGCTGGAGCTTCGGAAGCCGCTTCCGTGGGGTTGCTCGGCCGAAGGCCCGCGGGGAAGGAGGGCAGATGAGAGTGCTCAGATCGATTGCCCCCGAGTTCGAGCAAGAGGAAGGGAGAAGCTGACCCCTGGGGCCTAATTAGCATACTGTGGAGACATTTGGTGTCATGAACAATGATCCTATTATTATCGGGCTTCATAATTAATAGATAATGAATAATTAATGGAGCGTAATTTAACCGTGGTCTGGACTTACATTCAAATGGAGGCTTTTTGCAGTCATTAGGAAGAAATGCTTTTCCTTGTCTTGAAAAATGCAGCGTGCTTTCGAGCGCGGTTGTGGGTCTTCTTTTAATCCCTTCAATATTTAATTGTGGGGATCTTTAGCTCTGAGGTGCTTTAGAGGGAAGCTGCCAGCCCTGCCAGATAGAGAGGACCCAAGTTTGCAAGGCAATCTCCGCTGTAGATCTTTCTTGCAGCCCCAGCAGTGTTTCTGTTGCTTTCGATGACAAACGGGCTTCCCTTCCCTCCCCTCCCTCTTTCCTTTAACTTGCCCTTTGAACTCAGAGCGCTCTATGGTCATTTTAAATCGGTAGGTGCCCTGCCCAGATAGATGTTAATATCTAATTTCAGGGCTTAGCTGATAAAACAGCAAAAACCATTCCAAAGGAGGAGCTTTCCAAAAGGGGACGCTGCAGAAAAAGGAGGAGACGTCAGCGGGATTGTCGCACAGAGGCTTCGAAAGCAGCAGGGCCAGCGTCCCTGGCAGCGCTGCTCTTCAGCCTGTGGATTAGAAACTGAAATCTCCTCGGGGAATGGCGCCTTCCAAAAGCAGCATAATGCTCGTGTCTTCACTCTAATGTGGTCGTTTGCTCTTCATTTTGAATGGAGTTGCTGTTTACACAGCGATCAGCAGGCACTGACGTGTGCAGGTTGGACAATAACGCTGACGGGCTCGGAGCTGCTCGTGACTCAATTCCCGATAATTAAGTGTCGCTCTGTGCAGTGGCTGCAGTTCATGAGGAACCCTGATGAGGAGAATTAATCTTGAGGAGGAATGGGGTTTTTTTAAAGCGTGACGGAGCAGATTGTGACCTCCGAGGGTGTGAGACGTGGTTCGCGAGCCCGCTGACGCTTTCCAGGCAGAGCCTTGGGCTGGGTGAGGGAATTCCCTGAGCTTGGGGGGGCCACGAGGTGCGACCCAGCAGCTTGCCTGCTCCTGGGGTTCCTCGGTCCCACTCCAGCCGAGTGTCTTGATGCTGGAACCATGTGTAAAACTTCATCGCGGGGGATCTCAAGATACGGTTCTCGGCAGCTGTGTCAGATTTTTGAAAGTCTTTTAACGTCTGCTTGTTACAGTTCAGGACCTCAAGGGTCTTGGTTATGAAAAAGGGAAACCGGTTGGTTTGGTGGGTGTGACCGAGCTCTCCGAAGCCCAGAAGAAGCAGCTGAAGGAGCAGCAGGAGGTAATGCCCTGAAACGATTTCCGAATTCACCTTGTGTTGCAGCGTGGCTGGCTTAGATGGGAAAATGGATGGGGGAGACAGCAAAGAAACTTTCCCGGTGGCCCACAAATAAATCTCTAGGATTTGTGCTGAATGCCTGAGAATCATGTGATGCTGCAGTCAGCAGAAATATTAGAGTACTTTGGGGAATTTGAATTAAGCCAGCCAACTGCTGTCCTGCCAAACTAAAACCCAAAATCTGTCAGGTCTGTTGTGTCGCAGCTGCAGCTGGTTTTGCGTTGCTTCGGCAGTGAGGGGGAGGCGAGCAAATACCCGTAAGCTCCTGGGGAACGAGAGAGGAGCTGGGTTGTGGCAGAACACAAGGGCGATCTCGGAGCTGCGTGGGGCTCGGGGGGGTGGCAGCACTCCTGGGTGCTGGTATCGAGGTGCCTGTGTCAGAGGAACCAGCACGTAACGCTCCCGTGTTTGAGCCGAGGAGCGAGCAGCCGAGATCCGGCGGCGGCGCTGCCCCTTGGGATTCATAATTGCCGTAACCTGGTTTCTGCGGGGCGGGCGCTGCCGCAGAGCGCTGCGAGCCTCGGGCAGGCTCTGCTGCCCACGAAGGGGTTGTCTCACCGAGCCGTCGTGTCTCTTCTCCCCTCCCACCCCCAGATGCAGCAGATGTACGATATGATCATGAAGCACAAGCGAGCCATGCAGGAGATGCAGATGATGTGGGAAAAAGCGATTCAGCAGCACCAACACGGCTACGACAGCGACGAGGAGGTGGACAGCGAGCTGGGGACGTGGGAGCACCAGCTGCGGCGCATGGAGATGGATAAGACGCGAGGTGCGTCGGGAGCAGGGGAAATAACCCTGCGTTGCCGTGAGGCTCCAAACCCTCTGCAATCCCCAGCGGAGCACCGCGTGATTGCTGTTTTCTCTCCTCTGTGTCTTGGGCAGAGTGGGCCGAGCAGCTCACCCAGATGGGCAGAGGGAAACATTTCATCGGAGACTTTCTTCCACCCGACGAGCTGGAGAAATTCATGGAGACCTTCAAGGCGTTGAAGGTGAAATAGCAGAGGCGGTGGCACGGCTTTGCGCTTGTCCCCTGGCAGTGAGGGGAAGATCTCGAGCGTGCGTAGCCCTTTTCCCCAGCAGTTAGCTGCCTGCTGGCCTTGAGGTACTTCTGGGAGCTCTGGAGGAAATGAGGCGTTAGGATTTTTGCTCCTTGCAGAGAAATGGCTGTAGCAAATCAGAGAGCAGACTGTCGGGACGGTGTTTGAGGGTTAGCTGAAACCATAGACAAGCCTGTCAAAGTCCCCACCGCTCCTCTGCTGTTCCTGGTTTGGATAAGTGGTTGCTGATGCCAAGCAAGGAAAATCTGAATTTTTATCCAGGTGATTGCGGTAAAGTGAAAATAGAAAGCCTACAAAAAGCTTATGCAAAGCACTTCAATACCTGCCAATTCTTCCTAAACTGCAGAACTTCTTGATGCTGGCGCATCCCCCGTAATGTTTTCATGTCGCCAGCATGGGGTCTGATGTTCCCTGGAGATCCTGGCTTCAATAAGAACCGTGTCTGAAGCTTGATCCAGTGAGCAGCTTTAAATTCAGGAGCTAAATGTTTCGTGGCTTAATCTCCCAGTAACATTCCCTGCTTCTTGCAGATTATGGGGCTGTGCAGGGCTTTATCTTTTCCTGTTTTCTTCTCCGTGGCGGCACAGAACTGGAATCTCAAGGAATGGGCCTAGTTATTAATTGTTCCGCAGAACCAGCCTAACTCTGAGGAGCTAAAGCTGGTTTTCTCCCCTCCTCTGACCCACAAAGGTGGGTGTATAAAAAAAACCAACCCGATGCTACCGTCTGTGTCTCTGCAGGAAGGACGCGAGCCAGATTATTCTGAATACAAGGAGTTCAAACTGACTGTGGAAAACATCGGTTATCAAATGCTGATGAAGATGGGCTGGAAGGAAGGCGAGGGCCTTGGCTCAGACGGGCAGGGGATTAAAAACCCAGTCAGCAAGTAAGCGGAGTTCTTCTTCTGTTGTTTTAGTCTGTTCCTCTTGGGCTGGTAAGTGATGCTCCTGCCCTACTGGCAGCACCTGCGACGAACGTGACCACAATTCATCACCTTAACACAATGTGGAATCATGGCAGCAAAGGAGAAAAATCATTTCTGAGTTCTCTGGGGTTCCCTCCCCAGCACGGCCTGGCGCTGTTCCTTTATCCCGGGTGGGAGGTGTGATCTGAGCTAAGAGCAGTTTGTTTCTAGTCTCACCTTGCATAGCGTGCTCTGCTGAGAGCTGCCTTCTCTCCGGCTTCCCCATCTATAAAGTGAAGATAAGACGTGTCTGCACCCCACCTTTCCCGGGGCATGTGAGGATTAAGTAACGTCTTTAAAGTCATAAATTTGTTTAAGTATTAAAGAGCGTGCCTTCTGCATCGGAAGCACTTGTGCTGGCTAATCCCTGGTGTGCTGGGGGTGAAAAGCGCTCGCCAGCGTTTGCTCCCGCTAGACCTCTGCTTAAAAGATGTTTCAGTCCAGATCAGAGAGCTGGGTGTGTGATCGTGCATTGCTTGACATCACTGATCTGTGCTGAAATTTTCAGATTTGATCACGCTTCCTGCATTAGGAGGCTTTCTGAGAGTTCTGTCCAAAACTAGATGAGCATCTCTTTGGGTGGATCATCTGCTGGTAACATATGCTGAAGTTCAAAACCAAATATTTGGGATAGGAAATACTCTGATTATTTTAGGATTTGATCCTTTTAGAAATAACGGTTGTTTGTTTACTGCATAACAGAAAGTGTCTCTGCAAAGCGCTTCTGCTTCCCTTTCACGAGAAGATCTCTCTGGCAACGCGCTTGTCGGTTCAAACACGTCCCGCGATAAAGAATCGCTGTGATCAAAACAGCAAAGCTCAGAAACAACCATCGTGGGGTTGAACAGGGGTCGCGATTTGCTTGGCCTCTGCCATCTCTGATGTTCTTAGAACGGATAAGAAGGTGCTACTGCGGCCGGAAAGAAATTCCTCCCGCTCTCAGGCTGCTGTGGGGTACAGGAACAGGAGGCAGGACTTTGACAGCTCAGGGCACCGCTCGGCGGGGGGGAGCCAAAGCGGAGATGGGATTTCTGCTGCGCTTGCCAAAGGTTAAGCAAACGCACATCAACGCTGCCTCTTCCCCCTGACAATAGCGAGTGTCACCGCTTCCGAAAGGCGACGTAGAAACGTGGCAGATGCCGTAAAGCCGCTCGGTATCGGCTGCCGGTTGCGGTGTGTCGCGCGCCGCGTGATGCTGCCCCGTGCTCCCCGACGCTGCTGCTCCGAGCTCTGACAGCGAGAGGCAGCGGGGCTGCGTGGTGACGAGGAAGGTGTGATCCGTCACGTCTCACCTCGGAGCCTTTGTGCCCTCTTTCTGAACAGGGGAACGACCGCTGTGGACGGAGCTGGTTTTGGCATCGATCGTCCGGCCGAGCTAACCAAGGAGGACGACGAGTACGAGGCGTTCCGTAAGCGGATGATGCTCGCCTACCGCTTCCGACCGAATCCTTTGGTAAGGTGGTCCCCAACCCAGAGCAGACACGGTGACGAATCCATTGAGGCTTCTGCGCCGATCTTGTAAGGGTGGGAGTGTTTTAGTGCTTCGCCAAGAGAGCAAACGCTGTGAAAGTTTCTCTTTGATTCTCTCCTCACGCTGAATCAAATTATCGCTACCAAAACATCCACGAGTGCAAGGTTTTCCTTGCTATGACTTTTTTTTTTTAATACAAAAGCTCTTGCTTTTAGTATTATCTGCTGCATATACCCTGTATAGACACTGCATCCAAACGAAGCGGATGGCTTGTCCATGAACCGTGGTTTCTTTTGAGTAATTGTTTTCCTTGTTGCAAAAGGCTTGTGAGTTTGCATTTGCCTCTTGCGTTCAGCGTGCCAGCACGCCTAGAAAGCTACACTTGTAATTTTTGATGGGCAGACCTCGGGTTCCGCTGTCAGAAAGGTCACGTTTCAGTGGCTTTTTCAGATAATTAAGCTCCGATGCTCATTGCTCTGCAAAGACAGCACTTCTGATTAATTTTCTCTTGTCATTCCCTGCAGAACAACCCACGACGACCTTACTACTGAAAATTGGTTTGGGGGACGACGTATTTTCGAAAGAGTTGTAATCTCACCGTGAAATGTTATAAAACTGCATTATCATTCTCTTATTTGCTAATATCGTAAAACTTGCTGAAGTCCCGACACCCGTCTTTCACCCAGAAAGAAAGGGCCCGACGAGCCCCCTCCCTACGCGCTCGAGTGTCGGGACAACCGTGTCTGGGTGGGATTCGGGGCAGAGGGGAGAGCAGGGGAGAAGGGATCCTCACGTGGAGCCCTGCTGAGAGGGGAAGGGTAGCACCAAAGATACCGACAGGAATAGTTCAGGGACTCCATTCGTGTTGAGCTCAGCGCCGCGGTAGAAGAAGGAATAAATTCTGTACCAACCAGCAGCTCCTCTGTTGTTCAGAGCTTATGCTGCTCTGGGGTGGGGGTTTGGGGTTTGTTGTTTGGTTTTTTTTTAATTACAGATAACAGCGGACTGTCTCCAGCCCAGCTTTTGGGGCTGTTGCTCGGTCAGGATCTCGTTCCCTGAAGAACTGGAGGCTCTGAAGCCCAAATTCTAGCCTGGCCTTCAGCTGACCTTGCAAAACCGGTGCCTGGTTGGTTCACCTCTGCCCTGCGGATCGTGGCTGGAGGGGCACGGGGCAAATTTGTTCAGCCTCTTAGTTTCTGAAACACTAAGGTCACCCCCAGCTTCCTAGCAAAACAAAACCAAACAAACAGACTTGCTGACACTTTCTGTGGCTCGGGGTGAGGAAGAGCCAAGCCCTCAAGCACAGGTTGTCAAAGGCTGTTTGAATTCTGTGGTTGTAAGAAACCCCTCTACAAATAGAAATTTTTCTCCATTCAGTCTGTAAATAAACCTCATTCGTTCCTTAGTTTTAAACACTGAATTTTGGGGAAGAGTGGTCTTAACCGTGGGTTTTGTAGGCTGGGAGGCTGCTCTAGATCTCTTTCCTTCCCAGCAGCTTAGAGAAGAGGAAGCGAGATCGGTTGGTTTGGTTTCTGTCGCATTCGTTTTCCCTCGGTCCGGATACTTGGCGTGTGATTCTCGTTTTGTTAACTTTTCTTAACGATGTAGAGTCAAGGACTTGGCTTTCAATTAAAAACGTTGGAAATGGTCAATTCGTTCTGAGCTGTTGCCCTGGGCCCGGCTCGTCAGTAATCACGGGCGATTGGGAAGTAAAGATAAGAAATCTGGCAGCTCTTCGCCTTGTGATTGAGGTCACTGTGACAAACCCACGTTCCCGATACGTGAAGACACTGATCCCTGTCGTGCCCGCGCCGCTGGGTCTCAGATCCTGGCCCTGCTGGTTTTCCTGAGTTCCCAGAGACTGGGGCACAACAGAGCTGAAGCTGGGCTGCCCGTTTCCCTGCTGGTTTTCTTTTTCATACAAGTAGAGGCTTGCAGACCTTCCAGCGGGTCTTTAAAACCGATCTCATAGGGCAGCGCTCCCCGTGCGCTTCGCTGGCGTCGCGTTGGGAAAAGTTGTGTTTTATTCCTTCATTTCTACACAACAGCCTTGGTCTTCCTGAGCCGCCTGCCTGGGTAACTGCGTGCGTCAAGAAGTGCTTTTCTCTGCTCTGATTTTTCTTAACGTTGTCGTGAGCCATGTGTGATTCCCCGTGCCCTGGCTCGGGAAGCCACGAGCGAGGGCTGGTCCTGCTGATCCCCGACGAGACGCTTGGCGCTCTCCTCCTCGCCATCGTTAGCCACGATGTGTGGGTTTGGTCTTCAAAAACCGAATCAAAACAGGCAGCTGCTGCTGCACCGTGCCTGGAAGGTCACCGGAGTTGGGCTCTGTTTTTTTCAGTTCCTGGTGCCCGCGGTGCCAACCGCCCGGCTGGTGCAGGCACGCGAAGGCACCGTGGGATCATGAGAGGGAAAGGAATTGGAGCTTCTTTGCCCCAAGAGCTGGAAGCCCACAGCGACGCTTGTAGAGGCTTCGAGATTTGGGAATTGCTGCAGGGTATTGCGTCAAGTCACCCCAGATTATCTGGTTTACCCCCCTCTTATTTTATTTTATTTTTTTACAGGGTGTCACGCTGCTTGTTGTACATCTGCCTGTGCAGACAGGGCTGCTGGGGGGTTTCTCAGCCCTGTCTCGTTACTGAGCTTTGGAGACTGAACCCCGCTTGCTCTCGGGCGCAGTCCCCTGACCCAGCACAGCCTAACGAGCCTTTCCTCGTCAGCAAGGAGCCACCTCAGTGCTGTATTTTATTTTATTTTTTTACAGGGTGTCACGCTGCTTGTTGTACATCTGCCTGTGCAGACAGGGCTGCTGGGGGGTTTCTCAGCCCTGTCTCGTTACTGAGCTTTGGAGACTGAACCCCGCTTGCTCTCGGGCGCAGTCCCCTGACCCAGCACAGCCTAACGAGCCTTTCCTCGTCAGCAAGGAGCCACCTCAGTGCTGACGAGGCGCACGGGGCGCGTCCCCAGTTCCTCCAACACGAACCAGCCCAGAGCAAAGTGCGGGGCAGCCGGTTCAGCCCCC